TAGAAAGAGAGAGAGAGAGAGAGAAAGAGAGAGAGAGAGAAAGAAAGAGAGAGAGAGAGAGAGAGAGAGAGAGATGTCAGTGCACTTGGTTACGAGTTTACGCTATTATTATATTATCTTTGTGTCCTGGGAAACACCACTTGCTGGGGATGACGAAGAAGAAAAAGAAAAAGTCTAGTCGAATGGGGAAACTATTTTATCGACATGTACATGTTTAGTTGGTATTAGAAAAAATGTTTTTATTTTATACTATTTGAAATGTAGTTTTAAAGATCTTCTTTTTTTGTTTCTACGTTGTTTTAAGTGAACGACACTGAACGCACACTGTAATGATCTCTGTCTCTCTCAGCGTATTCTCAGATGTGCACGCACGCTTTTCAACTCTGTGCACTCACAATCTCGGACACTCGACCAGATCCTAAATCAGTTTTTTCCCGCCTTCAATCGCTTGTCTAAGTGTTCCCTTGTGGTTATACATTCATTAACGATTTTGTCTCCGTTTCGTCTACTTCCTCAGTCGGAAGATAACAAAACCAGTGCCAGCCAGTCCAAGAAGGGCAAGGTCATCGACGCCAACGAGAAGAGGTGAGTACTCCTTTATTGATTTACACGTTTTAATCAGGATAAACAGGTAGTAGTTCTTACTCTTTTTTTCTTTCTTTCCTTTTATTGTTTCTGTTTTAAAAAAAAAACACCTCTATTGTAGGTCTTTTATCTTTTCGCTTCTTTGTTGTCTGTGTCTCTCTTACTCTAGATTTTATCTCTTTTCTTTCCTTTATGGTTTCTGTCTCTCTTTCTCTATGCCTTACTTACTTCTTCCCTTAGTTGGTCGTGTCCCACTCTAGGCCTCACTTCTTTCCCTTATCGTTTCTGTCTTTCCTACTCTTGGTCACTAAGTTTTTCTTTTCTTTCTTTTATTGTTTCTATATTTTTTTACTCTCCCAATACTCTAAATTATCGTTATTGTGTCGATGTGCTGCTTTTTATTTACCCAAATGACGTGCATCGATCTGTCCTAGTCGATTGAGGTCACAGAACGATTGTTTCGACAAAGACGTTATATTCAGAGTTATATTATTACAGTACACATTGTCTCTCCTTTCCTTCTCACGGCTGTCTGACCTCTTTTTAATGAGTTGTAATTGCCAAGTTCAGATTTGAGATGCACACATATATGCACACAGACACAAACACCCACACACTCGCACTCTGACACGAGAGAGAGAGAGAGA